CTGTAATTTCACCAGCACCCTTCTTACCCTTCTAATCCGGAACGCAGTAATGCTAACAATACTGCTTAGCAGCAGAAATAATTAAGGTGGCAGTACTTCCCTGGATGAACTTATTTACAAGGAGCTCCACTGCCCAAAATTGTTATGTTTTTATTGGAAAACCATACACAATTTTTAAGCTTTATTTACGTAAGTAACGTCAAATTATTCAAAGAGTTCTTGTCCGATAGACAGCTTGAAAATAAATGAAATCACTTGTAATTAGTAATCTATAACTTCTAATAATATTTAGTATTTTTTTAAGAAAATATTTTTATATATTACAGTATAGTATACGATTGCCAATGTACACTTATAGATTGCTTCACCGAACAGGGTCTACCTTACCAATTTTCTGCCGCCAAGCGGTAATATGAGCATAACTGCGTTCCGATTTTAAAGGGTTAAGGGTGCTGGTGAAATTACAGGCACATGGGACTTGTCAAATTATATCTCAGGGTGCGCAGTGGCAGCGCCCCACAGATCATTGCGATTTAAAGCTCCGGAGTGAGGCGTGTCGCTTACACTAGATGCACGACTTGTTCGATAAAGAAAAGAGTGGAAAAAATTGGTGGTACAAGGCACAACAAAGATTCGAACCTTCGACCTCTCTATTGAGAAGCACCCGTTTTCCCATTGTTCTCGATAATATTCTAGGTAGGTAAGTATTACGTAGCATAACTTTGTATGCTAATGAAGAAGGAAGTGTTTTTAAACCCGTTTCTAGTCAGGTTTATTTAAACATTTATTTGAAGGTTATTTTTGGACAAATATGCACGTCAGCAGCTTATTTTTATAGTACCAAGACGTGACGGGATGAACGAGTCGTGCGCCTGGTGGTGAGTGACATGCCTAACATAACAGTTGCAGTGCCACTCAGAGCTTTAAATCGCAGAGATCTTAGGGTCGCTGCCAATGCACCTATCGCCCTGAGACAAGTTGACAAGTTTTCCTATAATTTCACCAGCACTATGCCCCTTCCAAACCGAAACGCTGTTATGCTCACATTATTGCTTGGTGGCAGAAATAAGTAAGGTAGCAGTACTTCTCTGAACGAACTTTCACAAGGAGCTTTACTGTTACTAAATTGAAACTTAGGTATTTTGAAAGCTTTATTTTTTTATCGGTAATGGAATAACGCGTTTTGTCGCAGATTTCTAATACCCTTTCGAAGACATTTGACCTTCATATGAACATTCAACTTCATATGACTGCCCATGTGCACTTGTAGGCAGAGCCGGATTTATATTTTTTATGATTGTAGGCATTGACTTACAAATAAATGGACGACGGGTCTAATACAAAAACCACGAAAAAAATGTCCCAAGTCAATCTATTTAAACGTAGTGACATGTCAAGGAATACGAAAAAGCTAAAACGTTGAATTTAAATTGTAATGTCATCATAGTACTGTCTAATTTTGCTTGCTTCGCTGTCAGTCGAACAAACGAAGACTAGAGCGTGAATGACGCTCTGTATACGATTTTAACGCCCTATAAGTTCGGACACTTTTTAGCGCGGACCCGACGTCCATATTTGTAAGTCAATGATTGTAGGCCACTTTATTTCCGCCGCCCCATGTACATACCTTTCTAAAATAATAATATTCCATTTGTAGTAAAGAAGGCCTTAAAGTTAAAAAACGAATGAATTAGTCATTAACAGTGAGCGTAAAAAAGAAACAAGATATACAATTTTTTACGGGACTTTTTAATAGAAAAATCATCTATAATATCATCATAGTTAACGCGATACTATAGGTTTCGATGAAATAAATCCCTACTATAGAAATATAAGAATTTATTTAAGATATAAAAAACCGTGAGAAACCCAGTGAACATGTTTGACTTTTGTCTCCACTGAAATCTGCCTATTTATAAATCCAGGACTGCTTATATAGGTTGATACCTACAAGCTTAAACTACAAAGTAATCTGAGCCTACAAATAATATTTCGGCAGTTCCGTGAGGCTAAAAACGAGGCAGAACTTTAGTGAAATTACGCTTACGCTGTCTTAATTTCAAGTTGCTAACAATATTTAATAAAGAAATGTCCGGACTAAAAGCAAGCAATGCAAGAAAATCCAAAAAATGCAAAAAAGTTAAATAACAAAAATAAATCGAAATTTCTCTCTGACGCAGCAGCAAAGATGAACAAGTGTCCGGGCAAGAAAATTCTTGTCGAATAAAGAATTGCGAAGTGGATATTTAACATTTTTATTCTGGAAATAAAACCGAAAAATCCAGACACGTACATCTCTGTAAAAACTTAGAGCATTGTAAAAAGGCCGAAAAGTTGGTTATTTTGGTTTGTTAACTCTAATTGGTATTGCGGTACACACAATAAAATGTTTATTTAAGTAACATTAGCACATCTCTTATGCGAATGACCTTCAGTAGGTATAGATCTCTTTATCTGTTTGTCGCTTCAACGAGTTACTGTGACTTCTTTTTTAAATTATTATCGGTACTTTGATGATTAATGTACTCGTACTAAGGAAAATATATTACATAGTTTTTATGTACAGAATGTCAGTAAAGAGCGCGACAAACGTTATGGGCACATAGTTTTACTCAAATACGACCTATCACACAACGAATAGTAATAGTAGACGTATCCTACCTTCACACATAATGGGCCACATTGAGAACAATGAATTGCTGACGGATAGACAATTTGCATATCGGCAGAAGATGTCGACAATTACCACTGTACATAAAATATTTGACTGCCTAGTTTCCGGCCTGGATGAGAATGAATTGTCCAAAGCCTTTGGTGTGATTAATCATGAATTGCTGTTGGATAGTAACAATCTAATGCCGATTCTAACGCGAATCTGTGTTCTGTAATACTATTAATAGAATTATAATAATTACACATGTTCGTTAGGTTTTTTTTATCAATATAATATATTTTCCATTAATTTAATATAAATATATCACTATATTTACTAAATGTTGGTGATCTAGCTCTCGTAGGATCGTTAACGTTCGGTGTACTATATTTGTTCAGGTTCTTGATCTGGATCGATGGGATTCTTGCTCTTCTCGGGCTCAGGATCGTAAATGAAACACTTGTTCAACTGCTTACCGACTACTACGTTTCAATAAACGAAAAAATATGTAGGAACATTTTGAGCAATCTCAAAATGTTCCTACATATGTACTAAATCAAGTCTCTTATCTAGTAGAGGTGTCGGCGAGAAGGCGGTCGGCGCGGTGCGCGGGGCGCGGGGGGCGGCGAATCCGTACGACGCTGTGTGCGGGGTGCGGGGAACGGTGACGCGCTCTCGGTTGGGGCGCGGGGCGCGGAATGTTCTCGTGGGTGGCTCGGTGTCCGTAACACTAGATATTTAGCGGCAATACAAATTGAAAATTAGAGAACATTCGTCTACTATATTACATCTCATTATACTGATGTAATAAATCTGTATTATATATAGAAAATGAAACTATTTTTCCGGATTTAAATCGCGTATATTTGTTTTTTCAAACAAACCGACGTTTCGGGCCCTTTACAGGTCCCATGGTCACGGTTGACTGAGGTGGTACAGTCTTCAACCAGTTATGTCTAATATTAATGCAAACCACCCTATTTTTTCACTATAGTTACAATAGTTATTAATTAAATACCTTATTTTTAATTTTACAAAGAAAACATTCCAATTTACGCTACATTAAGTTTTACAAATGATTTTATTGAATGAATTTTTATTAAGTTTAATTTATTATTAATTATTAATAGAAATTAGAATAAACTAAAACATATTAATTAGTACTGCAGTCTATGTCTGTTTGGGATTTTTCATTAGAGGAAATACTGGATCCCAAACTGGTGGTGGCTGTATTATATAATTACTCTGCACTAAATAAATGAAGAAAACAATAACTGAATGAGTGTGTGAGTTTCGTAATGAATAAATGAAACTATATTCAAATATCAAAGCCGTGTTAGCGCGAAAACAGCTCGCCGACAGCCTTGTTGTCGTTCAGTCAATGTGACCGTCAATTTGCGGCGCGTGGATAGACGATGGGTCTAATAATACGTCTGTAGTGATTCTAAGACTGGATCGACTAAGACTTTGTAACAATGGGGCACTAAAGGTATGGTTACATAGAAAATATACACATTTCATTTCTTTCCTACTAAACTATTAGATTTATGGCAAAATGTGATATGACAATATTTAATTAGGACAATAGGATCTCTCGATTGGCATTTTTTTAGAGGGGTATCGTGAAAAAAACCAATGTCCGCAATATCGCTGAACCGACACACTGTGTCGCAAAGTTAAGATAAATATAGTGTCAATTTTTAACGTACTTAAGTGATTTCCCGAATCCCGAACAGGTTCAGGACTTAAAAAATATTGTCGTATGGTAGTCTCTATGTTCTTCGAAGCGTAGGTAAAAAAAAACTGTCTTTTCCGATGCCTGCTAATGACCAATCTGACCAATGGCTGAGGCGTACGATTTATTTGTCCATTCGCTTTTGATATCATAGAAAAAAAAACATTTTTTCAGTACCATTTTTGGAAATTCGCAAATAGTTGCTTATAGGGCATTTAAACAAGTTGAACCTTTTCTTATTTTTTTAAAATATCAAGTGACGGGACGAATAAGCCGTGCACCTGATGGCAAGCTACATGCCTGTCCATAACATATGCAGTGCCACTCAGAGCTTTAAATCGCAAAGATCTGAGGTGCACTGCCACTGTAAGTTGACAAGTCCTATGTGCCTATAATTTCACCAGCACTCCGAACCATGTTGTGTAGAGATAAGTGGGAAACCAGCAATGCATTGCAACAAGAAATCTTAATTTATCTCCTTCGTCAGACGGCAGCATGCTGTCGAACCTTCTACACTATTGATATTATGTTACGGTGCTTTCCTTTACACAATAGTAACATTAGGTGTACTTTATTCAAATGTTATTGTTTAACAAACTTTTTTCATTACAGAGACACGCAGACGAGTCTATTCATCGCACAGGCTAGACAATGTTTCCCCAAACATTTCTTGTTCGGAGTTGCCACAGCATCATATCAGACTGAGGGTGCTTGGAACACATCAGGTAACTTGATTTTGTTAAGTAATAACTTCTTTATACTAGCAACTGTGTAGGTAAATTCGTTGTGTACCGACCGAGAGTTTGACTTCCATTTAAAAAGTAAAAATTTTCGTTAATACGTGGGGCGCACTATAAGTTTCCGGAATGAATAAGAAAAAATACTATAAATGGTCAGAAATGAATTTATTGTTTCTCAAAATATTCTCCGTTAGCGTTAATGCACTTTTTCATACGAATGTAATGAAATTGAAAACATTTATGCCACTCCTCCTTGACAATCTCTGAAACATATTTTTCATGCTCATCGACAGCCTCTTCAGGTGATGAAAATCGTTAACCGCATAACTGGTTCTTAATTTTTGGAAATAAATAAAATTACAAGGTGCCAGGTCGGGATTGTACGCGGATGGCTCATAAGATCAACGTTGTTCACCTTCGAAAATTCATTTGTTTGTCTGGCTGTGTGAGACTGGCATTATCGTGGTGCAAGATGATACGGCGTTTACGGTTATTTTTACGGAGTTTGTCAATAACTTCCGGCAAACAAATGATCGTGCACCAATCACTATTCACGGTACAACGATACTCCAAAGCAACAGTAGCCACGTGTCCAGTTTTATTAAAAAAAGAAGCAATCACCCGCTTAGAGGCACTTTGCAAGCGCGCCACTTTAGTTGGTTTCGGCTCATCTCGAAAGACCTATACGCTCGATTACTGTTTCGTTTTGGGATCGTAACTATAAATCCATGTATCACCTGGTACTATGTCTCACAACAAATTTGACTGAATCTGCTAAGCATGGCATTACATCAAGTGATCCACCGAGAGCACAGCTTTTTCACATCCAAATATTTGTGTAGTGTTGATTGTATTTGACTCATGCCTATGCCTAAAGATGCCCGAATCTCATGGTATGTCACATGCCGGTCTGTTTTGATCATACGGCACACAGCATCGATGTTTTTGTTGTTCACAGCAGTGAACGGGCGCCCATCACGAAATTCGTCACTGAGATTCAAACGACCGCGTTTGAATTCTGCAAACCAGCTATAAATAGTCGTCTTGCATGGTGCTTCATCACCAAAAGTAGTTTGAAGCCGAGCGAAGCTCCGCTGAGCTGTTCAATTACTAAAAAATCAAACTACGAAAATTTTCACGAGTTTAATCCATGGTGATGTAGACAACCAATTTCTAAAATGACGCCACAATGTAAACACAAGTGACAGTCAGATGAAACAAATTGTATTCTACAGCCAAAGCCATTTTCAAATGTTGTAATTACTTTTTAAATATTGTTTATGTAAGTGGCCAGTTCCGGAAACTTATAGTGCGCCCTATGTATCCAGTGTGTTCCAACTTCGAATCCCTTAACTAAGGACTAGAAACTTGGTCTGATTGAAGTATTTCTTTATCACCAAAAGTCTAGTCACATCATTCTTCTTTCATCACCAGGTAAATCCGAAAGCATCTGGGACCGATACACTCATAAATTCCCGGATAGAGTATTTGACCACAACAATGGTGACACAGCTGACGACTCGTACCACCTCTTCAGGAAAGATGTAAAGCTCATGAAGGATATTGGAGTCCAGTTTTACAGATTCTCTGTTTCTTGGACTAGACTACTGCCTTCTGGATTTAGCAAGTATGACAAAACATACACTTGACTCAATGCCTTGAACATACCAGGTACTTTGAACATGAAACATTGTGAGGATATTTTACAACAAGGCACTTCAATAATTCAAGAAAATCCGACACGCAGAAATGGTCCATTACAACAAAAAATTCGATCTGTGTAAAATATATCCTAAAAAACATAAATGATCTATATTTCAACAATCAACGACAGTTTCCTGTACCTGCTATCGTTCGTAGAAGTTTAAATCGTTTTGTGAATCGTTTTATAAACATCAACATGACCATTAAGATTGCGATAGCACGTGTTCAGCGGCATGTTCGTAATGAGACAATTTTTTTTGCAGAGCGTATTTACCCATATTACGCCTCGACAGGCATCTCCCCTATTACCATAGGAGAAACCGCTGTAATCGTTGGTGCAGCTGTACTGGGCCCCAACTTTCAGGACATCTACATAACACCAAACATGTACTTTTAATGAACCGTAGCATTTGTAGAAAGCGATAACGATAAACCCGGGAGATATGTTGAAGGCGAATACTATCATGTGGATCAGGCAAATTCTCATTTCTGCCTTTGTTGAGTCGTGGACTCCAATAAACTGATCCATACGTAAAATGAAACCTGCAAAAAGTGTTCCCTAATGAACAGAGTATAGAACATACAACAGAATATGTCAGCGTACTTATACAGAAAGCAGATTTCACAATATACTTTCTTTTCCAGTATAGTAAACCCAGCTGGAGTGCGATTTTATACGGAACTGATTGACGAGCTTCACAAGTTCGATATTCAACCCCTAGTCACCATGTACCACTGGGATCTGCCGCAAACCCTTCAAGAACTTGGAGGATGGACTAATCCGCTTATTGCTGATTACTTTGTGGATTATGCTAGAGTACATTTATTCGTTATTTTATCATTGTCTTTCGCGGCCTATTGGTAGTGTCTTCATTCCATACATACATTCAAGTTCCTTGCCACTCTAAGTTATTGGTTCCAGTGTTGGCAAACAAGTATTGATAACATATCGAAGTGATATTATATTCATTTTGTCCCGAACTTTTTACAAGGAATTACCAATAAGCGCTGTTAAATGCACTTCTCGGAAACTAAAAGCCTAGAAATCTCGTGTAAAGACACCTTTAACGGAAATAAAGATATTAGACGTCGTATCATACCTACTTTGTAAATTCATAATATTTGACTATTCCATATTCCTTACTCAGATGTTATTCAAAACTTTTGGGCACAAAGTAAAGTCCTGGATAACCTTCAACGAACCCCTCACATTCTGCCGTGAAGGTTATGGCGGCGACGACGCTCCTGGTGGAAGATCTAGTGGCTTGGAGACTTACATGTGTGGTCACAACGTGTTGAGAGCTCACGGAATGGTCTACAGAATGTTCGAGAAGGAATTCAAGAATAATACTGGGGGTTAGCCTACTTTGTTTTTTATTTATTTAAATTTCTAACTGGTCTTGTCCAGAGTATAATTCAGTATACTATACCAATACTATTATTCCTCTCGAGTGCTCGGTGAACTGTGATTTGTTATAGTATCCTTATTTCAGCCACTGTGGGCATATCTTTGGATTTGGCTTGGATGGAGCCAGCGACCACGTCTGTTGAAGACAGGAATGCTGCTGAAACTGCAAGGCAGTTCGTGGTAAGCCATTTTCTTCTCGTTATTGTATTTGCCTTAATCATCAAATTAACATAAATTGGCACCGGCTACTGCTCCCTTACACCCACAGGCCGGTATGGAGCTGTCCTCTTTTCTTTCTTCTAATTTTGTTGTCTAAAAAAACCATCAACACAGAGCATTAATTGGAGAAATTCTTCTTCCAGTTCGGTTGGTTCGCTAATCCAATCTTCTCGAAAAAAGGAGACTATCCAAAAGTAATGCGCCAGCGCATAGATGAAATCTCTCATCGGCAACATTTCCCCCGATCTCGTCTCCCGAAATTTACAAAGGAAGAAATAGAGTTTATCAAAGGTTCTGCAGATTTTTTGGGCCTGAATCACTACACGACGTATTTGGCGTCCAAAAGTAGTGTGAGGCCGAATATGGAGCCGTCTTTTGATGCCGATATGGGAGTTGCATTGACGCAGAAACCTGATTGGCCAAAAACGAATTCGACGTGGTTAAAGGTAAGGAGGTTGTTTAGGTGGTAATATCTAAATGGTTTACGGTATAAACCGTAGTCTTTTTTTAGAACTATCGACCAATAAATATCTTATGAAAAAATAAGGAATTTGTATCTAATGTATTCTCATGCCTTTGGATTCTCCTTGGGATATGCAAAGACTTATCAATCACAAGTTCACGTGACTGGGAAACCTCAATACTTCTTTACTTCATCAATCTTTTATACCACACCAATCCCATTCTTTTCACCACACACTCCAGACTTCTTAAGAAGTTTCATCTGAGAATGTCTTGCATGTCTGTCCTTTTTCAATATTGCCTTCCATGTCGGTTTATACCTATTTAGATATATCTCAAATAATCGTTAAAGTAATTGCAGGTGGTGCCATGGGGGTTCAGAAAAACACTAAACTGGGTGAAGAATACATTTGACAACCCCATTGTAGTGATAACTGAGAATGGCGTATCGACAGAACCAGGCCTCCGCGACACGAAGAGAGTCAAATACATTGACAGCTATCTGCGGTCTCTGCTTGCAGCGATGAAGGACGGATGCAATGTATTGGGATATACACATTGGAGTTTGCTTGATAACTTTGAATGGATGAGAGGCTACTCGTGAGTATGTTTTTTTCCCTTTATTCGATAGTTCCATCGGTGTTACAAAAACCCTTGACGGAAAGTATGTTAGATTTTTGTTAGTTAAAGTATTGCAAACGAGACGAGTCATTTTGCTATTTTCTTTAAATTCCACACTTCCAATTTGAACTCGTGCAGGTACGGAGAATTAATCTACTAGTTTTGAAATGTACCACCTTTTGTACTGAACAAATACAAAACTGAAGACCAGAGACAGCTCTTGGGGCATTTCAGTGGGAGTTCACTTATCTATACATATTTTAAATAAAAATGAAACTCACGTTGTAGTGTTCCATTTTAAACAATGCCACTAGAAACTACGCTTCTTAACAACGATTGAATAAGAAGAACGTTTACAACACATGAAAATGCGCACGAAAAAAATACGGTGTGCGCTGCTCACATCTTGCTAAATTTCCTCATACTAATTTATAAGAAATTTCTCTTTCACACTCATAGAATTCGGTACTGGAGTTTGTAAACAATGTCGGTTCATAGGAGCGCATCCCGAAGCGCTCCACTCAAGGGTCAGATTGCTATACTATAGTAAAGAGAAAGATAAAAATCTAATTGTGTGTTTGCCGTTTATTAATAAAAAAAATACTGCGGCTACTAATATAATATGAATGAAAGCATAATTCATAAATTTATTTTGGTGAGTTGGATAGGAGTGGGAATTCACTGCACCAACGCTCCTTAGGTCAAGCCGCCTCTGCTGAAGTCTGAGTAGAACAGACTGCCTTATTGCTAGATTTACTTATACGTATAATTCAATGGAAGGAAAAATAGACAAAAAAAGGTAGAAAAACTTACTATAGGAAAAAGAAATAATAGGAGAAAAGATTGTAAGAGTTTTGGGTAAAGTTTTTTAAAGGACTGAAGGATCCGAAAAAATAGTTTTATTTCCAATGTGTAACACTCGCGAAAACCTATGAACGCGTTAAAGAATCCTTAATTTTAACTAGCCCAAACAAGTTAACGATAAACCGGTCTGTGCGGTGAATGCTTAACAATTTTTTGCACCAAGCCCTTGGGTCCTTAGTAGGATAACGACCGCTACAGAACCTGTTCTTTTGTTTCGCGATTTTTTCTTTTTATGACAAAAATAGTTCCTAACTACCTTTGTATGCAAGGACTAGGTAAGATCCCGTATATGAACGGACGCATTGGTGAAGGTTGATGGGCTCTGTTGTACAATTACACTCTTAGGTAATTTTCCGAAAAATTTCAACTAGTGAAAATTTTTCCGGAAAAATTTCTGATAAATAGGAAAAATTTTAAAAATATTATTCGAAGGCTCATATTATTGAAATATCTTTTAAAGTATTCTTTAGCGTGAATTATAAAACAAAATTGTATAGCTAAAGCTACTTAGAAAAAAATACAGGGAAAATATTCGGAAAAATATTACTTTTTTCTGAAAAATTTTTTTTTTTAATGGAAATTTTTCCTTTTTTTTTCCAATCACTAGTTTTCAATATACCTAATGCATTTCATTCTATTAAGGCCTTTATTAAACATAGGACTATACCTCACAGGAAAGAATATTATTAGGTATGGCTGGGAATATTTTCCACATACCGAGGCATTCTTGGTAATCTGAATGCAACCACGAGCACGGCAAACATCTCCAAAAGTTTTGACCCATGTAACCATGATGAGACGGTTTGTCCCTTTACGTAGCAAAGTGGAGACCTTTGTCCATGTACAGGGATTTGGGAAAGTCGAGATTTTGTCCAGTGGAGGCTTTTCTTCCTCGACGGGGCCTTGGGAAAATAGAGAGGGATTGCCCAGGGCCATGATAGAGTCGAATTTTGCCCCCTAGATCACTCAACCAGTGCATAAACAATCTTCTCAACAGGCATTGAACTTTGCCACAATTGTGTAATGGCTTTATCATATTATGAATGCCGAGTTTATCATCATATAATGATGTTATAGTGCTGCTAAGTTGTTATCAAAACATACGTACAATTCCACATATACCTAAACTAATTTACGGATGAACAGTTTAAAACCTCGTAAATTAATATTAACAGGAGTTTTACCATGACTGTATTCGACATTGTGAATTTGACAATCAAGAACAGAGCTATTTTATGTAAGTCGACTAATTCGTAGAACAAAGACCTATGTGCAAGATGCTGCTTATTCTCGGGACATTGTACATTTCGTTTGTTGTTCTTGACTGCGGATATCCACAGTCAAGATCGACTGTTGTTCGATTTTATATTTCCGAAACGAAATAATAAAAAAATCTGAAAACGCCTTTTGAATAACGAGATTATGTTTTAACATCTTTTCGCTGTATAATCACATCGCACTTTGTTCTTCGGATGAATCGAAGTATTACGTCTACCACTATTTTTTTATGATATTAAGCATTGATATCATGTAACGGGACGAACAAGTCGTGTGACTGGTCCATAGCATTTACAGTGCCACTCAGAGCTTTAAGTTGCTAAGGTCTGAGGGCGACTGCACTGCGCACGTTACCCTGACTCTTAAGTAGACAAGGCCCATGTGCTTGTAGTTTCACCAGCACCCTTGCATTGCATGGTGGCAGAAATAGGTAAGGTGGTAAAACTTCCCTAGACATACTTTTTCAAAAGAAGCTCTAATGCTACTAAAAGATGATTCATGAAGATTATTATCCTCCTGAACTGTGGAAATGTAGCCATTGTGAGAAAGTTATATTCTTCCAATTCATCCGTCAGAGCCATTGTTAGGCTTAGTTTGTATATTTTTGTCGAACTGCATGCTTCTGCAAACTTTTGCAGAACAAAGATTAATGTCGGCGGAATTTTTCGAATCAAAATGACGATGGCGTACTTAATACCACAGTTTTACAAACCTTACAAGTGCGCAACGTATGTACTTGCGCAGAGCAACTCAGTGCGTGGGGTATTCGCGGGGAAGCGGGTGCCGTATCCCACAAACGCGCTTAGTTGTTGAGATCTTGTTGAGAGCGCTAAGGATCGCCGCGAATTGGTGCAGTCAGGCGCGACGTTGCGAAACATTAAAACGAGCAATGCACATAAACTTCATATTCACGGACATAAGTTTACATTTCTTTAAAACAAAAAAATAAAAAGAAGAAGACTACGCCGGGCGAAATTTACAAAATGCAATACAGTATAGAACACATATATCTACTTTACAAAATAAAGTATTCATTTCCAACAAAAGAGTAAAGACGCACTGTGTCCTTTTCTGCGAGCAATCAGATCTTAGACTCAATTTATAATACGGCGGAACGGAATGGAAACGAATTTCTGTAATTTCCAAACTTTATGGTCAATTATGTAACGTACGTACTAGATACGAGCAAAAATCACGTCGTGCTTCTTTCACGGAATTCTCGCGCATTCGCGAGAATTTCGCAGCTGCCGTCGGCGACGCCTTGCAAATCCGCGGGAAGTGGCGCAAAGGCAGGCGCAATTTGACATCAAACGTCGACGAAATACTACAGCATCAAGGCGCAGTCGCGAGAAGCTTGCGAATGCTCGAGCGTTCCCGCGAATGCTCGAAATGGACGCTTCCGTTCCATTCCATTCAACCGTAATGTAAAGTTGAGCCTTAGCTTGAAGCTGTGGTTCTCGAGTTTGTAAACTACGAAACCTGCTGCCAGGATAAGCTTATTTCAGTGTGGACAGTAAAACATCGTAATAACTTCATAACGACAAAATTACGACTTTTTATAGTCCACAACATTGAGGAATGGTGCCACTTAAGCTTATTCCAACGTGGACAATAAAACACCCATAAATAAGTATTTGAAACGCCGCGCCGACCGGTCTTAAAGTAATCTTCATTGTGAGTAGAAATTTAGCTGGTCGCACGAGCTTTACACTTGTTTAATCAAATTTTATAAATTCGACCATGAACACGTTGGAATAAGTGACGCGATTGTTTTAAAAACCATTTTTTTTTATATCGATGGAGTTGCTCTGTTTCAGCGAACGCTTTGGGCTCTATGAAGTGGACTACACTTCGCCCAACAAAACACGCAGCCCCCGGTTATCAGCTACATTCTACAGCAAAATAGTTCGTTCTAAATGCATTCCAGCCCAGAAGAAACTAATATTTAAGCCATAGTTATAATCTTATTAATTAAATATATTTTATATAAACTTTTTATTCGTAATTTAATTCAAATGCAACCAATCTAATTCAGAAGAAACACTATATGGTGCCATTTGATTATAATAAAAATTTTTGTGTAATTATAATGATGTGACCTTAGAATAATAACGCATAGAAACCTGGTCCGCACACGCTAAGTGAGGCAAATTGAAGCGCTCCCAAAGGGCCTACATGAGCGGGCGGGCCGTCAGTGCTCAAGGTCAACTTGCACCGCGAACAGCTCCAGAATTTTAGCTAAAAATGACGAAATGTGCGGTAAATGAGTAAAAATACGTCAGACAAACATAAAATAGATACTAACATCACATTCCACAAGGAAGTAACGCGTTTCAACTTGTATTTTTATATAAATATTCACTAAAACCGAAAATTAACCTACTACTAAAACTAGCCTACATGAATTTGATTTTTGCCTCACTTGTGACAGTTCGCTTGATATGAAACTATCATTCTATGCGTTATTATTCTAAGGATGTGACATTCAAATTACCTGCAGCTTGATTTTCATTGCCTCTCCTGATCGGAAACTGCGTCTCTGCAGAGTCGAGGCGCATAATTGAGATTCACAACTGCCCGATCGGAAACTTTTGACGTTTCAAATCTTCCGATTTGTTGATGAATAATTGATTTAACTCACACATTAGAAAGGTATAGTAGGAATCAGATTCATATTCTCGCTCAGAAACCCATCTGATTTCGAGACTACCCGATCCGTTCTATTCCAATTTGACTCAAAATCAGCGTGCTGGACTCAAACTGGGGAATTCCCTGCACTATGAGTACCAAAGAAACGGAATTAACTCCAGAGAACACCCAGACCAGCACCAATTTCGAAAAGTTTATTTCGGTATCCAACCCGGGACTTCGTCATCGAGGGCCCGCAGTACAAACCGTTAGGCCACCGAGGCTGTCAAATGTTAGGAATACCTACTGTTGGGTAATTTTCCGATTTCAAATAGTGAAAATTTTCCCGGAAAACTTTCCGAAAAATTGAAAAAATATAATTCAAAAGCTCATATTATATTCTACGTTTAGATTATATCTTTTGAAGTTTTATTGAGCGTTATTTACAAAATAAAATTGTATAGCCAAAAGCAAGTTAGAGGAAAACGGAATTGAAAATGATTAAAGAACAGTGAAAAAAAGAATCATAGTTTAAATCTTATAGTCTAAGGTTTAAATAAATCTTTTTAAAGCCTCCATCGATTTCGTTCAGAATCTTCCACTTTTGACAGGTGTAAACTGGCACTGTCGAAAAACATTCGGACAATATGATGTAACTTTAAATAACTCTTTTTTTTCATCCTCTAAGAAAGAACTTCATAACATTTTACGTTTTCTAGTAGAAAAGTGAAACCAAAATTAAGAAAAGAAAATTAAGAATAGGCTGTATGGCATTATGCCAAAGCCGTTAAAACTGTACATTCGGAAAAATATTTATTTTTCTGATAAATACAAATTTTTCAAGACGGAATTTTTCGATGAGCCAACACTAGGTGTACCTATACCATGTTTTTATCGTCATATTCAAAACCAAAGAACTAGTACTATAAAGAACGTTTGTATTGCTGCAGTCGCGCGGAGACGAATGCTCCTAAATGAGAGATTTGTATGAGCGCTTGTGCCGACGTCGGTACACTCGGCGATAGGCACTTATCGCGTAACCTTGAGCTAGCGACGGAGCCCGGACACGATTTTACGACACGAGCCCTGATTTTAGTAGAAGGTAATATACCTTAATATTATGTCATTATAGTTGATATTTTAATGGTAATGGTCGTAGCTACAAAATACATACATTATACAACACGCCTAGGGATACCGAGTCGGCCGCCTCTGGAATGCCTCGATAGCCTTGGGTGTGTTTCGGCATCCTTTGCGAGCACGATGTCTCCACGAAATGCTACAGCATGCTTAGGATGCTTCGGCATTCTAAAGGACACCATGGTATAACTGTTGTCAGTATGCGCTTGCATGTAGGGATACCGAAGGATCTCCTGCTGAGACGTCATGTCTCTGCTGTCTATCTGGAGCTGGTTTCAGAGCAGTGCGGATTTTTCTGCGGACCGTCCGCGCGGAGCACCGGAGCGGTGTAACACGTGTGGCGTTAGAACATCGTTTTACAGTGACGCGAATTGCTTCGTACGGAACACGTTCCGCGTGAACTCCGCACAAGCCACCGGTGCGTTCATTGTAGGCGACTGTCTTCCGTGGATGTCCGCACTAACTTAAATACTCGATTCAGAGCACTGCGAATTTTACGCATGCGGATGGCCCGCAGGCGGACTGTCCGTACGGATCGTACGCACAGCTGTGTAACCAGCCTAAGGGTTAAGGCATGTCACCGAGATCGACCGTTCCCCGCTTTTCCCTCCACGATGATACTTGTAACTTTTTTTTAATAATTAAAGGAAAGTGAGAGTCCTTATTCGATGATTGACCATCTGAATATTCCAACTTGGCAATTTGCTTATGTTAATAAAATGAAAACCCATGAAACATTAACAAATATATTTTCAAAGGAACATACACTTAATATACGCTTAAATCTAATATTTGGAAGACCAAAATTGATTGGAAGGACACTTGTATAATATTCAACTAATAATAGGCGATTAAAACTGCTATATGCTTTAGGCATTTCATATAAGAACTCATGGCTACAAATTTGTTCTACATTTAATATTTGGAAATTTGAGTATGTGGTGCAGTTACAGGTTTTTAGGCGGTTTATTACACTGTTGTTGCTGTCGAGTTGAAGCGCGACTACGCTTCTCGCAACGGCCATGTGTAACAATAAACTTTAAGTGATACTGATAAAGTGGATAACACCTCCCTCGGGGATTAAAAAAAGGGAAAAAATAAAAAAGTATAAATTTTGAGTTACAAAACCATTTTCTAAATACACAAAGTAATTGCTAGTTACATGTCAAAAATTTTAAACAAAATACATTGACTTACAAATAAATGGACGACGGGTCTAATACAAAAACCACAAAAAAATGTCCCAAGTCAACCTATTTAAACGTAGTGACATGTAAAGGAATATGAAAAAGCTAAAACGTTGAATTTAAATTGTAATGTCATCGCAGTACTGTCTAATTTTGCTCGCTTCGCTGTCAGTCGAACAAACGAAGACTAAAGCGTGAATGACGCTCTGTATACGATTTTAACGCCCTATAAGTTCAGACACTTTTTAGCGCGGACCCGACGTCCATATAATTGTAAGTCAATGACAAAATATAATACAATAATTCAGAGATTTCAGAGGGAGGTAGTATTACAATAAAATAAAAATAATAATATAATAAAAATAAATATCTAGTACAGTACAGCAAAGGTTATTTCAATATACCACTTGAAAATTGTGATGAATATCTGGTTTTTTTTTCAAATTTACAACTAAAATAATGTGACAACCCGTGTATTGATTGTGCTCCCCAACAGTCCAGCTTGCAGTTCTGCTAGTCAACGACTGAGCTGTGGTCACCGACAAAAGGCGGTACAACTGATGAAAATGGGCAGCAGCTGTTGAAATTGTGTTGGTAAAACTACTGACAAACAGAACTTATCAAATTTATGTCTTCAGGTCAAGGACAACGGCAGTGACTTGCTTAGGCTCACCGCAACTGTAAACTAGTCATCAACACTCAACAATTAAACATTTTTCCTTTTTTTCTCAACAAGTAAATTCCCTTTAGTTGTGCACGGTCATTCTCGGTCTAGTGTTCACTGCTAGCCCGAGTATATTATCGAGAATATACAAAAATATTATCATGTAATTATTATAGCACATTATTGCAGAGGCCGGGAAGTAAGGGATTGCTGGACGAGTATTAGTTACAAGGACTAGCGCCAGCGAGGCCTTGTATTAATACGAGTCAAGCAATCCCCGTCCCCGCCGAGGTATGTATAGTATTTTTCTCAAACAATGTGACAAATAATAATAGACTAAAGAGAGGAAGATGTATAATAGAAAAAGTAAAAAAAATAAATATTAAAAGTAATATTTGACGTGTTAGGATAATTGCTAGAAGAAAATGTTATTATTTTTCCGTGTACATTAATAATAGTAGTCTGCTGAACTTCTGACGATGTATTTGAATGTGTAAGTATTACTGTATTTTCGTTATCGCTCTTCTCACTACACTCATTTTCGCGACCAAAATACAAAAAATACGAAAAAACAAAAAAATACCAAAACACTAAGTTTTACCGCCATTTATTTTATGTGCTCGTAGGTATTTTTAATTGTCGCAATTATGAACACTGGGTAGTTGGCTGTATGACTTTTTCTTTTGCCTATTTACATAGGTCATTATTAGTAGATTCACTCTGGACCTTTCGGAGGGAAAAGTGTCGTTTTTATTTTGACTTTTATTTTGTGAAATTTAGTTTAAAGTGGAAATGTTAGTGCTATTGTGCCTTAATCGAAGATTAAAACGCGAAATTATACAAATCTCGAACTAAAATACCCGTATCGGCCCGTTTTAAGGATTCCCGAGTCAATCCAAGCACGTCGCCTCAAATTGCCTATCCTCTTTGTGGCGGCCATATTTACAGAAACATAATTAAACTTCATGTTTAGGCTTATGGCTTTGCCAAAGCCTTAATAAATTAAAAGAAAAAAAATCATTATTAGTAGGTAGATTTAAAAGATTAGAGGACAGTAATGGATATTCAGACTTACTTTGCAGGACTTGGCCCGGAAGCAGTCGCACGGTCCGTAAATGACAAATTTTCCGTGTTGGTTTTTTGAAAGTACCTAATGCAAACATTTCCGAGCATGTTTGAAAAAATAATATTTAATTATACAATACCCGAATGTTAAATAATATTGCACGACAAAAAACTCGAATACCAACCTAAATAACAAACATTGCCATGGACATCAGGTAGTGAACATTATATCCAAGAATAACCGGCAAAAGCAACCACATAACGTCACCTTATAAATAACCTCGCATACGCGTTTTCACATACTTCGTTTTTATTGATTTTTGTTGAAGAAACACAAAACTTGTTGCAAAAATGCGACGGGCACACACATAGACAACCACAAATTACACCCAAACTCACGAGATAAATAAATACAGGCCATACAAATATCTCTCAGCCTGGGAATCGAACCTGGAACCTCAGCGTGGCAGTCCAGCCACCGTTCGTAACCATTGTAACCGTTCGGCCACGGAGGCAGTTAAAGTTATTAAACTAGTTAAGTTAATTAAGGCAGTTATTAAAGTAATATAGAATATGAACGAGGTATAATTTAACTAATTAAAACGGTAACTATTGCGTTTACTACATTTATACCACTGCGTCCTGAAAAATTACATAAAAATCACATACGAGGTCTTTACTCTAAGACGACGAAAAGATTGTAGAAAAAAAAATTAATCAAACACATAGTAGGAATTAGATAAAAGCAAAGAAAAAAACCGAATTAAAATAAAATATAATGAGTACAACATAATTACGAATTACATTTCTTAATTAACTTGTCGCAACGACAAATAAACTAATGGAACCAACAATAATATTTCAACTATTATTATTAAAATTAATTTATTACACTAATTTATTCACAAAGCTATTGTTATAAAAAATATTTACTTACAAACTAAATTTGATATCGTTTCTACCATCATAAATAATATTGCTCGAAAATACACAAGTTTCAAAAAATATCATTATCTATAATTATCATGGATAACAAATAATACCACAACGAAATGTTCTTTGATATTTGTTGAATCAAATTCTAAGTAGCCTCTATGAACACACACACACATACATGCTACTACATGATCATACGTAATTATTAGTGATGGGAATAGGTAAACTATATTTACCTAACTTCGAGGAACAGAGATAGGAAATGGAGTCTACGTTCAGACAACATTTTTAGTTTCGGATTTTTTTCGGAATTCGGGAAACCATTAAACTACATCATAAATTGACGTTATTTGGGATAGGTAGGTAAGACTACTGACTCCACTTGTTAGCCAGAGGCCTATTGTTTAATTCTTTCTTCTTCGTTATAATTACGACATGAAAGTCGATTGAGAAAGTTGAAACGTATACCTAGAACTACAGGAAGAGTCAACAAGATCCCTTTTTAGGATCCCGGAGAAATGTCCATAAATCAACAGTGTTTGAAATACATACCTTAATAATTCCAATTAAATTAATTAAGTAAGAATTTTTTTAAAACGGGAGTTTCCTAAACATTCTGATGTAGTCTATTTACCTATTTCAAATAATAACAATTTTTAATGTACATCTCGAAAAAATCCGAGACAATAAAATTTTCGCGTAAGGAAGTCTCCACTTTCTGTCTCTGTTCCTCGATGTTTAAGTAATTGTACTAGTACCTATTCCGATCACTGGTTATTACTTACACACTTAACAATGTATACCCAGTACCATAGTATAATAAAACAATTATGGTAACTCCATAGAAACGTAGCAGCGAGGCTAGTACGCGTCGTACATTAGTAATGCAGACATTACCGTACCTGAGAAGCATCACACTGTAAGTGCTATTTTTGTAATTTTACAGGGGACGCGATTTTGTACCGAAATACAGCACTAACAACGTTTAGAATAGCTTGAAATAAAACTAATTGAGATTTAATAACATTTCGAACTACCCTAATTGGCGTACAAACTGCTTTTCGACACAATATCGCTTCCTCCGTAAAATTACAATAATGGCGCTTGCAGTGTAATGCTTCTCAGGTACGGTCACTGCTTGGCGGCAGAAATATGTGACGTGGCAGTATTTCCCTGGACGAACTCTTTCACAAGGAGCTCTACTGCTACAAAACTTCAGTATTTTACAAAATAACCCTGTATAGTCGATACATTGATAGGTAGACGACAATCACCTGTACTGTTCTGCGAAGTCGAAAGGCGCTATCTCTGAGATACGCCTTTTTAGTTTCTTAAATACCATTCAATAGTTATAATAATTTCGCATCTAATGGTAGAATAGAAATAGCGCTATCTAACTTAAAACATTTAAAAAACCACTAAGAAGTATTTTTATACCTCAATTTTTTCTTAAACTACTAATAGATTTGGCGGCTTCCTTTATAATCAAAATATCGTAATAGTATCTCACAAAATAGGTACAATGGTACAATTTAATGATAATTTATGTATGTCAATAAATCTATTAGTCGAAAATATGTATAAATAAGTTTCATTTTTGAAAGTGCTAAAATACAATTCATAAAATGTCGATTTTCTCAAAACTTACTCCGATTCAGATAGCGCTTTTCGGCTTTTAAAGGCAGTATACATCGCTACCGCAGTCTGCAGACATTCGAGTATTTAGATAATGGTTCTAACCCATTAAATTACAGTAAACCCCAATGGTCGTTATTAACACATCCTGTCATTTTCGCTGTGGAGGACTAAAAACTTCTAGTGCAAACCTGCAGTTCACTCTGTTCAATTATCATAAAGTTTCCGTAGCAAAAAACTACTCATATATTGCGATCCAGCAAATTTATAAACACGAAAATTCATTTAAGTACCACAGTCTGCACAACAATCAGTGAGCCGACACACCGTTGCATATTCTGTCGACATTGAAGTTGTGTAACGTTCTAATGTGACAGGTGTAAAAAGGGTGTAGATTATGTGCAAGTTGCACGTAATTCATTATCCATTTCTGTTGCTCATTTCTAACTATTTAAAATAACTTACATGTAAAATGGAACGAAGATATTCTGTTGAGCATATATTTTAAAATCCTAAAATTATTGTCATTCTTTTTCACCCTATTAATTTTAAAAGACAAATTTTAAGTACTGCCGAATCGCGTTAATCATCGACAACAAAACAATATTTAAGGCTTTCTTTACTCTATTATTTACACCTGCCACATTAATTGAATATTGGTATTCAAATATTTACAAGAAACTAGTCACAGTCAAAGAAAGACCAGTGGAACGCCTCAAGCTTGTGGCATCTTACATTGGCTGCATTCTTCCATTGTGTCGTTGAATTCTTCAATCTGTAACGTCATTTCGAAGAAGTTGTATTTTTCGTGAACTGCGCGAGTTGCTTGCTCGAGAACCTTTTGTGGTGACACACCAGTGCCTAGAAAGAAAAAAAAATAGAATACAGTTAAATGAAGTAACGACACGAGTACATAATATAATAAACACCAAACTCACGAGATAAATAAATGTTGGTGTTTGATTTCTCAGGATTGTAGGCAGGATGTTTCCAATAAAGTTCGAAGAGAGTTACAGAAGCCAAAGGAAAACTATTTACACAGGCGTTCAGCGCCCCCTAGCGGATGGTACAGGAACTGGCTGCTGTCCTCGAGCGCTATACGACCGCATGCCGATGCCATCGATGACTTCGACATAAGTCATTATAGTTCCACTATAATGGGGTAGTGGGTGCTGTCCTTAACAATAGACCATACAAATATTTCTCCCGGCCCGGGAATCGAACCTGGGACCTCTGTGTGGCAGTCCCGTATGGTAACCGTTCAGCCACGGAGGCAGTTATCTATATTGAATTAATATGAAATATGTCTCCTCTTTGTATTTTT